AGAATCACTTGAACCCAGGAGGCAGAGGTTGCAGTGAGCCAAGATTGTGCCACTGCACTCCAGCCTGGGCGACAGACTGAGATTCTACCTCAAAAAAAAAAAAAAAAAAAATTAGGTAATTTCTATTTCCCTGTATTTTCTTTCAGAACTAACTGCAAGTTATTTATCTTTTTACTCCAATCTTATTTACGAAATACATTTTCTTTTCCTATGTTTTAGAATTTTTTTTTTGACACTGCTGGAGTGAAGTGGTGCAATTTTGACCTACCGCAGCCTCGACCTCCCAGGCTCAGGTGATCCTCCCACCTCAGCCTCCCAAGTAGCTGGAACTACAGGCGTACGCCACCATCCCCACAGCTAGTTTTTGTACTTTTTGTAGCAAAAGGGTTTCACCATGTTGTCCAGGCTGGTCTTCAATTCCTAGACTCAAGCGACCCAGCCACCTCGGCCTCCCAAAGTGCTGGGACTGCAGGCATGAGTCACCTCCCCTGGCCAATGATACACCTTTTAAGTTTCGGGCTTATGTCTACATATTCATTCTGCTCAGCTGAGGTTGAAATTTACTTAACAAGCCCAACACTTCATGAAGCCTCTATAAAATGTGCTATATAATAGGGCTCATAGCTTTCACAGCTTAAAAAACCATGAAAATCTCTAACACCATTTCCCATCACAGCAGCATGTTCTACCGGACAGCACTGTTGAAGACCAAGCCTCTCTGCAGACATCAAAAATCTAGGAAGGCAGAAGGTATAAGATCTCTTTGGCAACTCAGATGGTAACATTTGGAAGTGCAGAGTCCACGGGAGTAACACTAGTTCCTTCTCTAATGTTGGCCCTGCCTAAGATCTGACTATTAGACCCAAGAATTTTGTCTAGTACCTGTGAAACCCATCTGATCATGTGACAGGTGCTCTCCTCTCCCGTAAGACTGAGTAGTGTGCCTCTGAGACAGTGCTTTTGGCTGTCAAAAGCTTTGCAGACACTTGTATCTCAGCATGACCAAAATTAACTTACCTTCACATGCTGCTACACTCTACCCAAATCTGCCTTGTTCCCAGAGTTCCTTATCTCAAGAAATTACACACAACGAAATTACACACTGAACTCTTAGGCCAGAACCTTAGAAATAAACATTTTAACACTTGCTTCCTTCTCCTTCAATTCTCATATCCAATCAATCACCAGGTCCTATTGATTCCACTTCTCAATTATTCTCAAGTTGTCCACTTACCTCCATGCCACTGCTACTACTATCCCAAAGCCACGTACTCCCCAACCTGGACTGTCTTCACAGCATCCAAGCCCTGAACCCACCATGTTTCCCTCCAACACACTTGTCACATCTATGGAAGATCCATCTGATCCCATTATTCCCTATTCACATTACCTGTAAGATAAAACTGAAACACAGGACACTACTTCTTATAGATACAAGTCTTGCCTATTTCTCTCCACACTCACTTTTGCCCAGTATGTTCCAATCACAGTATAAATATACTCCCTCTCTGTTGCTCACGGGCCTTACCACATGCAATTTTCTCCACCAGGAGTGCTTCTGCCCTCTGTCTGGCTAACTTCTACTCATCCTATAGGTCATCTTCTAGGTGAACCTTCCTAGTCTCTAAATCAGATTAGGTTCCCCAGGTGTAAGCTCTTTAGCACCCTGATTCTTCCACTTCATAAAATTCATCACTGTTTTTTACTATGATTGTTTCACTGCAAGATGGTAAGTACTGGGAGATCAATTACCTTCCCCTCTTTTTTTTTTTTTTTTTTTTTTTGAGGCAGTTTTGCTCCTGTTGCCCAGGCTGGAGTGCAATAGCACGATCTCAGCTCACTGCAACTTCCGCCTCCCAGGTGCAAGTGATTCTCCTGCCTCAGTCTCCTGAGTAGCTGGGATTACACGCACCTGCCACCACACCTGGCTAATTTTTTGTACTTTTAGCAGACACGGGGTTTCACCATATTGGCCAGGCTGGTCTACCTTCTCCTCTTTATCACTCATGCCTGTACTATCACAGCCTAGCACAGAACTTGCTATATTATAGTAAATCAGCAAACATATGACGAATGATACATAATTCTGTAAATGAATAAAGAAATAACATTTTAAAAAACTGAAATGCAATTCTGAACAATTATTAAAACCAAAGCAGGACTGACCTGGTGTTTTCATTATATTCAAAAATCTGAACCTTGGCCATTGCGTTGGGGCTACTGTCATCACTTCCTACAGCGATCATGGGGGAATGAGCTCGAGAGCTAGAAACAAAAGAAATACACACGTCAGAGAATGAACACACTGGAGGCAAGCAGACACCCAGCTTACAGTCAGCCTGTCACTACTAGTGACATGTAGGTCTCTGCCACACTGCTGACATGGCCACACTGCCAGTGTGTGCACCTGAGAATGCCACACATGGGAGCTGAGGATTCCATCCTTATGAACTGGTTTTAGCATGTTCTTACGGCTCAGACAGAAAGGAGCTCTTTGCCTGAAAGAAAGCTTTCAAGCATTCAACATATTTCTAAAAAATACTTAAGAGGTCTTAGTAATTTTTCCTCCTGAAATTTTCGGTCATTAACTATGAAACAAAAAGTAATCCTACTGTGACTAACTTCATGACAAAAAGATTGTAAGTGCTTTGACAAAAAGAAGAAACACGCAGGTAGGGTGGCTTGCACTGGTGATCCCAGCATTTTCAGAGGCTGCGACGAGAGGATCATTTGAGGCCAGAAGTTCAAGAAGAACCTGGGCAACATAATGAGACCCTATCTCTACAAACAAAAAGTTTTTAATTAGCCTGTTGTGGTGGCGTGTGCCGTTTGTCTTAGCTACTTAGGAGCTGAGGCAGGAGGATCGCTGGAGCCTGGGAGTTGGAGGCTGCAGTGAGCTACGATCGTGTCACTGCACTCTAGCCTGGGCAACAGAGCGAGAGCCTCTTTCGGAAAAAAAAACAGCAGATGGACACAGGAAAAGCGGAAAAGCCTACCCCTGCAGAAGTCATGATCCCACATCACTGCCCCCCAGACTCATTTGTGGTCAACCTCATTTTGAAAGAGCAAAAGATAAGCAATGAAAGAATGGCTCTCCTGAACTAACAGTTGAATGACTTTTTAATTTCTATGCCTAATGAATGTAATTTCCTTTGCCTCCCTCATCCAGATTAATATCTCTGTGAACCTGGCACCCTTGTTTAATCTTTAGCCTCAATATTGTGAACTACTGACCTCTTACAGCTAAAAACAAAATGTGGTAACTGATGAAAAATTTTAGTTCTTTATTACTAAAGCTTCAGGTAATTAGATCAAATTATCTAATTAAGAAAATTACCAGGCAAACTACAAAATGTTACAGTAATAAAATAAAATTATAAGTTATTTATAATAATTTTTGGCTATTCAAATAGATGCAAATTCCACAGCAAATTTCTGTATCTCACAAACTTCCTTTTGCTTTTTTTTCCTGTTTTTTTGAGACAGAGCACCGCTCTGTCACCTAGGCTGGAGTGCAGCGGCAAGATCTCTGATCACTGCAACCTCCACCTCCTGGGTTCAAGTGATTCTCCTGCCTCAGCCTCCTGAGTAGCTGGGATTACAGG